CCGCTGGGCCCCCTCCCGCATGTGCTGAAACACAAGACCCTGGGTCAAGGCCAGAGCCCCACCTCACCATTTCTGTAGAGATCTAAGATGAGGGAGCCTCAGACACCATTTGTTCCCGATATCCTCTGGTAAAAAGGAAACTGAGGCTAGAGAAGGGAAGGGACGGGAGGCTCCAGGACTCAGCCTCAGACCCCAGAGCCCCACGAAGGGCATATTCTACTACCCCACTTTCTCCCTGTGCCAGGGACCAGTCTTCTCTCCCTCCTACCCGGTTCTCTCACCTTCAGCACCTGCTCCAGGCTCTCCAGCTTGCTCTGCAGGCCCTGACTCTTGCGAAGGGCCGAGTCCCTCTCCTGCGTCACCCCCAGGAGCTGGCCCCTCAGCTCTGCATTCTCCCACTCCACCTGGAGATCGGGGTGTGGCAGGGAGCTGGGTGGGTGAGCCTTGTCCCACCAGCTCCCTCACCAGGGGGAACAATATCCTTCGTACTCTCTGGCCCAGTTCTTGGCGGGGGGTGGGTGACGAGGAGACAGGCCCCCGCCAGTGACCAGGGCCCTAGCAGGAGCCCAGGCCCCACAGTACCTGGGCAGGGTGGCTACCTGCTCCTTCTCTGTGGCTCTCCCACTGAGCCGAGAGTTCTCCTCCACAAGACGGGCATTCTCATTCTGGGCTTCTCTCAGCTGCAGTTCCTGAGAGACCAGAGGAACTCTGGGGAGGGGGCTCGATACCCACATTCCTCCCCTCCCCACGCAGAGGACCCTGCCCTCCCAGATAAGGCCTTCCTCCCCCACCTGGAACCCTGCATCAGCCAGGAAAGGAGAGCCCCTCAGCACAGGAGAGAAAGTGTGTTCTTGAGGGCAAGAGGGATGAAAGCAGAGGTGAGAGGGAACCCACTGCCTGGCCGGCCTAGGGAAAGTGGGGTGCTGGCCTCTGGGAGACCCTCCAGAGCTCACCAGCTCTTCACATCGCCTCTGCTTTTTCCGGGCTTCCTGCTCCAGGCTCTCACATTTCTTCCGCTTTCTGCTGAGCTCTGACTCCTGTGGGGTCAGAACTGAGGGGTCCTCATGTGGCAAGGCAGACTCCGTCCACAACAGGTCTCCTCCACCCCTTGGCCTGAGACTTACCAGCTGCTGCACCCTCTGTTGTTTCTCTGGCTCCCCTAGGATCACGGGTGGGTTTTCCACATCCTCCTGGGGTGTGGCCTGGAAATGCCCAGGAGCAGGGGGCTGGCATCTGAGAACAGGGCCCAGGGGCAGCTTGCCCCGAGCCCAGCCTGTCCGTGGGAGATTCCCACCCCATCTTACAGTCAGCAAAGAGATCCCTGGCCAAGAAGGGGCTGGGTGCTGTCTGCGCACCCCCTCCTATCATCTCCAGCTGATGCGGAAGTGCAGAGGCTGCACCTCTGGGTCCTCCAGACACAGTACTTTGAGATCATGAGACCCATGTGTGCCCTGGGAGACAGGTCCCTTATCCAGGCCAAAGCTTTCCTTTTTTAGCTTTTTCCAGCAGCAGCCCTGCTCTGCGCTCAATAACTGTCCTGGTGTCCTTCGGTAACTGGCAGAGAACTAGGAGGCCGCCTAGGTCCCCAGGGATGTGGTGTTCCCAGAGCTAGGGGTTCTGGACCATCCAAATCTTGGCTTGGCCTAGAGCACTGCAAACCTGGCCAGACCCTCCCATAGCTTCCCCCAAGCCCACTCTGTCTCACTTTCTATTTATCTGTGCAAACTCTAGGGGAGGACAAGTCTTGATGGGAGGTGCACCTCCTTCCCTGAGCCACGCAGAGAGGCAAACTCTGAGCAAGAAGCACCCCGCACCTGGAGGCCTTGGTCGCTATGGAGACCTTCTTTCCAGAAGGAAGTGGACCTAGGTGCTACCCAAGGAGAGAAGATAGAGAGGGGCCAAACCTCTAAGTTCTAGGGGTCTGGAGTGGGGTCCCTCGCCCTCGCGACAGGGGCTGTCTAAGCCCGGCGCCCAGGGAGGGTCGCCCGTACCTGGAGCGGGGTCGGACGCACCTCCGCCCCCGGGTAGCCGGGGCCGGGCCTAGGCGACCAGGCAGGCGCTGAAGGGGGCGTCCCCGCGCTACGCCGGCGGCGGGAGGCGGCGGCGCGGGCTGAACCCCGGGCGGCTGCCAGGGCAACCAGGGATTTGCTGCTGGGCTGTACCACTGGCAGCGCAGCAGGGGCGGCGGGGCGGGCCCCGCGGGAGGCAGGCCTACCGAGGGCGGACCCCGATCCCCCCGGGCCGGGCGCCGCGCAGGTACGAGCGCTGGGAGGCTGGGCGGGGGACCCTGCCCCTGGCGTCGGGAAATCTCCCCAGCCCTTGGAGTTCGCACGCCGCCACCAGGTTCTCGGGGTTCTGAGCGCGTTTCAGGGGGAGATCGCGGAGCCGCCCCCTTCCCCATCTACACATACCCACACACCTGCCCTTGCGCCGGCGCTCACCTCTCCCGGAGCCCCGGGGGCGGGCGCCCCCGCTCTGACCCCGGCAGTGGGGCCCGGGGCCCGGGACGGCAGCGGTGGCGGCTCCTGCTGGTTGCGCAGGGCGATCTGCCGCTGCAGCCGCAGTACCTCCCGCTGGGACTCGCGCAGCAGCCGGTCGAAGTCCCGCACGTAGAGCCACTGGGGGCCCTCCTGGGTTGCAGGGACAGGGAGGGGAGTTTGGCCTAAACCCCTGCGCGCCCCACGCCGTCCCCTTGCTGGAAGGGCTCTGACGCGCGGGAACGTGCACATCCTCCCATGCATACATGCCTGGTCACAGGTGCGTGAGTATACAGCCACATGCTTCTGTTAGCCCGTGTGCAGACATACACAGTAACTCATTTACTGGGCATTCACGGTGTGCCCGGCACTGTGCTAAATGTCGTGTGAGCATTGCTTCGGGCAAATGTGACATGCGAGGATTCAGACGGCCCGTACCACTGGCGTACAGCCTGAAGCCTGGAGCACAGAAATTCCCGGGTCTGGGACTCATGGCTCCGCCCCCTTCAGTTCAGTCTTCTCCCCGCTCCCACCTGGGCGGTTGCCAGGGGAACCTACTCCCCGGCAGCCTCCACCTTCCCGCTTCATTTGCATCTAATTAACATCTCGGTCTACATCCCACAAGCCAGGCTGGTGGCCCTGTGTAGGGCTGAGCTGGATGGGGTGACCAGGGCCTCCTCGCACCTTGCCCGCCAGGGTGAGCCTGGCCTGCAGCTCCCTGCACTCCCGCTGCAAGGCAGCAATCTGCTTGTCCTTGGCCAGCAGGGCGCTGGCTGTCTCACTGAGGTCCTGGGCTCGCTGGCGGGCCAGGGCCTTCCGGCACAACTCCAAGCTGGCCCCTGGACAGGGCATGGGGGCACTCACCTGGCCAGAGGAGGGGTAAGGCCAATGGTCATCTGAGGGCTGGGGCACTTCTCCCACTCCTCAGCTCCTCCCAAAAGAGGGGTTAGGATGAAAACCTAGAAGTGTGGCCTCCTGCTTTTATCTGATGTCTGGGGCCTCAGGGGACAAACAGCCTCACTTGACCTCATCCCATCAATCCTCAAGCTGGACTGAAAGGGTTAACCACACATCCTAGTTTAGGCCCAAAGGATGCTGCTAATTTAGGGCCGCCACTGTAATGGGTCTTCATCCCTGCCCCCACGGGCTCTGCACCCAGGGATGAGCTCAGCAGGGACCTATAGCACCAACATGTGGTAATCTAGAATCCCGCTCCTTCTTTCCTCCAGTAGCTCCAGAAACCCTCAGCCTTCTAGCCTGGTCAGCATTTCCCCTTCCTACACTATAGCCCCTGCTTTCCTGGATGCTGAGTCCACGACTCCCAACCCCTAGCTCTCGGGCCTATCCCTGGGTCCTCTCTTCCCTGGTCACACAGCCTTCATCCGGCGGCCTCTAGTCCTCACCACCTTCAGGTTAGTCTCCTGCAGTTTCCGAGCCCTCTCCTCCAGGCGCTTGGCAATGACCGCCAGTTCGGCATTCTTCCGCTTCAGCCTCCGAACCTTCTCCTCTGTCTCTGGAAAGCTGCTCTTCCTCTGACAAGGGATCGGCCAGAATAGAGACATGTGGGGAACACCCAGTAGACTCAATCCTAACTACCCAGGCCTTGGGCTAGAGCCCTGGGCTCACAGTGGGGTCCTCGGCAACTCTAGGTAGGGGTCCGCCCTCTTTGGGTGAAGGATCAAGTCACTTTCGTGTGGCCCCCACTTGGAGAGATGTACATGGGATGAGGAGGACACTGAGGCAGAGGGCTGGGGTGTCTGAGTCTGCCTTCCCCCAGCTCCAACCAGGACCCAGGACTCGCTTTCCAAGCCTCACCAGCATCTGGTTTTCCTCCTTAAGGATGGCACAGCGCTGCTGCAGCTCCCCCAGGGCCCTCAGCAGCTTCGGATTGGGCCTGTCCCCGAAGCCCATGTTCAGTTTGCCCTGGCATGGGAAAGGACAGGGTACAGGGCTTCAGGAGCCCACACTATCTAGTCACATCCCTCCCTATACTGTTCTCTCCCACGTCCCAGGCCTTCAGAGTACAGCACAGGAGGTCCAGGAGAAGGGGCTATTTAGTCCTTCCCACCCACACTGCACCCCCAACCCTGGGACCCTCTCTGGTAGTCCCCAATTCTTTCCATCCCTGTTCATCTCCTCCTAAGAAATGCCAGCTCAAGCTCCCATCCCCACCCCTCCAGGCTCCTCATGGCCCCTGAGTCCCCTCCCCCGAAGTCCTGCTCCCTCCATCTTCTGGAGGCTACCCAAAATCTTGTCCTAGCACTGAGCCCCCTCCCCTGAATCTGCTCCCCCTGGACCCTGCTTCCACTATATACCTCCACACACCCCAGTATCCTCCAGCCCCCAAGGACAGAGACTCATGGAGGAGGCGACACAGACATATAGTCAGAGAGATACTAACAGAGGGAGGGGGTAGTCGCAGGGCCAGATGTTTACAGACAGGCAGAGAGTCAGAAGGACAGACAGATGGCAAAAAATGGAGCCTCTGAGATTCCTGCCCAAAGAAGGGAGGCCACACCGTCACCAAGATGGACTCACAGAGACAGGCCATGAGAGGAGAGGTGGGCAGCAGGGTTGCATACCATGTCCAGGCCCCCCCCACCTCTCAGACCGAGCCTTCCACAGCTCCCTTACCTTACGGAAAGCCTCCACCTCCTCATCATCCAGCCTCAAGCAGCTGGGTCCTGAGCTCGATGCTTGTTGCCCCAGGCTGGGCAGCCCAGGTTCTGTTCCTTCAGGGTCAGCGCCCCCCACAGGCCCAGGGCTCTGGGTTCCCTGGGGCTTGGAGCTCTCCAAAGTGTCCAGTTCTCCAACCTGCAGAATTGCCGGAGTATCACCAATGCTTGGGGCTGCACCTCCAGGTTCGCCCCCGTGACCTGGAGTCCAGCTTTGCCAGGCGGGCAGTGCCCATGGCTCCATGGCTCCAGGGTCCCCCGGCCGTGGGAGGGGTGTCAGTTGCTCCATGGTACTGCCAAGGGGTCCCAGGACGCGGGCCGAGGGACATCACCTAGCCAAGTGGAGGAGCTGGCGAGGGTCATGCCAGGCCAGACCCTTTCCTTTCTGAGATCTTGGCTTCACCCGGGCTCCATTCAAGGTTGGCCGAGTTCTTCCTCACCCACAAAGGAGGCTGCGGGAGTCGGAGCTGCCAGAGCTAGAGCCGGGGGTATGTGAGCTATGTTTGCTCGTGGCTGTGTGTGTGTGAGTGTGTGGAGGAGCAAGGATGTCCCCGTGGGGGCTGGGAGGATGTGCAGAGGCCACGGACAGCAGTGCCTGGGTGAGGGTGTGCGTGTCTCCAGGTCTGTCTATGCGGGTCAGCGCTGTCTTATGTGTGTGTTTGGAGGATGAGTGCCCCTACTTGTGTGTGTTGGGGGGTAGCGGTTCTGTGTGTCACTGTCTGTGCCTGTTTCGGAGTTACCAGTTGTTTCTGTGTATGTGTGTGTGGGTGTCTGTATTGCAGGGCTGTGGCAGCGTATGATGCTGTCACTGGTTGTATCTGAGCATCTGTGTGGTGCAGCTGTGTGCATGGGTGTCATTGTGTGTCCATCAGCGTCTGTGAGTCTGGCTATCCATCACGACCCCTCAGCCTGGTTAGGATCCGCAGGAGCTGCTGGGGGTGATCCCCAATGGTCCGCTGTAGTCCTTTATCTCCTGCTCCTCTCGCCGGTGCTGCTCGCTAGCTCGCTAGCTCGCGGGGCTGCGGGGCTGGTCCTAAGGAGGCCTGGGTCGGTGGGCTGCTTGCCTCATAGTCTCTGTCCCTGCCCTACCGTCCCGGAACCCTAAGAAGGTGGGCGCGGAGGAGGGCTGAGCCTCAGAATGGGGCGGGGTGGGGGGGTGAGCAGAGGAGAGCCAGCCCTCCCCTCCCCCAAACCTCCCCTCCCACCCACCAATAGGAAGTCAGCTGCTGGTTTCCATGGTGATGGCGCTGGACTGGTGGGCTGGACCGGCAGGCAGGGTCGGGACAGAGGGAAGCACAGGTTCCTCAGGGAATCCCTGCCCAGTGCCCTCCATATGTGGCCTCCCACACCTCCTCATACCTTCTTGGGTACAGAGGCAAGGGAGGCTGCAGACTGTCCTCCCAACATGGGAGCCCCAGACCATAGAGACAGAGACAGGAGGTGATATGACAGAGATCCAGCCATGGAGAAAGCAGGAGTAGAAAAGATGGAAATGAGATGAACTAAAGAGAAACAGAAATCAAGAGTATGAAAACAGGAAGAAGCAGAGACAGAGATAGAAATAGACTGAGAGAATTGCTTCAGCTTTCTCCTGGCAGAGTGCATTTTGGGGGCAATTTGGCCATCTTGCGCCAGCAGAGGAGACTGCATGGTCAGTTGCACTGGCTTTGCCCCACAGTGTCAGGAAGTTCACCTTCTGTCTAGCCTTAGGCCTTTTTGCTATGGGAAAGATGGTGTTTTGAGACAAGGACATGGGAACTACCCCACCCACAAGTCAGCCAGTATGTGGGGACAGGAGCCTAGATGAAGTCCTGAGAGACAGAGGTATTGGGAGAGGCCACAGGGAGGCAGACACTGCTCCCTCTGAACCTGGGACTCAGTCCATCTACACACAAGCTCGCCTCAGCCAGGGTTGGGGGCCCTCGTGTGGCACCCCCAGGAAATAGCAGCAACTGGTGCTGAAAAAGGGGGCTCCACCCAGGCCAGAGCTGCTGGAACTGTGGGTGAGGTGCATGGGGAGGTGGTGACATCCTTGCTTTCCTAAAGCAGTGTGTAGATCAATATGTGCACCACTACATGATGTGTATATCAGGATATAAATGTGTGCCATTATAAATTATGGGTATAAATTATGTGCATGTACATGTGTAGTCAGCATATATAGAATAAATGTATATTTAGCTCTCTGTGCGAGGGGCTATAGCATTATTTTATATATATACACACATGTATGTATGTATGTGTGGGGGCTATTAGGTGTCTATGAGCCTCATTGGATATATATGTATGCATTTTTCTATGTGTGTGCCGTTTCATATATGTCTACTTGCTACAGTATGCCGCTATGTACATGTGGAGCTATGATTGTGTGAGTGTATAAATTACAACACATATGTCGTGGCATATGTATATGTAAATATATATGTAAATATATATAATGACATGGTTATAGTTACATCTATATATCTAGATATACATATATCACCATGTATCTATTGTATATTCATTACCATGTATGAATATGTCACTATAAGTGTGTGAATTTGGAACTAATGTGTTTATTATGTGAATATCACTATATGTGTATTGGTATGCTCTTCTGTTTGTGACACTCATCATATGTGTTTACATCATTAAACGCATGTATGCTATTGGATAGGTATGTGTCTTGAGTGTATATATATCCCTGTGTGTCATTGTGTGACATGCCAGTCATGTCACATGTGTATATGTCACTACACGCATGTTGATAGCATACGTGTATGGGGCCCCATGTCTAAATGCATGCTCAGGTGCCTGCTTTATATATTAGTGTCTGATGCTTTGGTGTGTGTGCGCGCCAGTGCGTTTGTGCCCAATTCTTATACTACCCAGATCCCCTAGGTGATCTTAGATTAGAGCTGGAGGTAAGCGGCCTTCAGTTTGGGGCTATGGAAAGCAAATGGAGGACAGGGCCAGAGCTATGATAAAAGGTGGGAGGGCCCCCCATAACCCTGCCCTCTTTCCTTGGTTTGCAGGGAGGCCTCAGCCCAGGCCCCTACTCCCTCTGCCAGCTGTGGCTTGGCGGGGCACAGAACCCTCTTCTGGTCTTGTAAGCGGCCAAATCCATTTCTCTCAGGGGAGTGAGAGTGATTTTCCCTCCCAGGCCCTCTGGACACCCACCCGTCCATGTGCCTGCTAAGCCCATTCACCCACCCCCTCCCAGCCAAGCCCCAGCAACAGAGTCTCAGACAAAAGAGAAGCAGAGTTCATTGTTTATTAGCGTTGGGGTCCCAGGCACCACCCCTGTCCCTCTTCATCTCCCCTCCTTCCCGCCTCTTGCTGTCCACTTGCAGCTGGGCCCGATCCAGGCCTTCTCCACAGCTGCACCAGGTCCAGATGTCTAGCCTTCCCAGACCGTGGGGCAACAGAGGAGCCGATGTGGCACCTCCCTGCGTGGCCAGAAGCAGGAGGACAGAGCCGTGGGGGCGGTGAGGCCTTTCAGGGGTCTGGGCGGGGTGGGGGAGGTGCCTGAGGGGCTCACCTGTCACACACGGTCCTGAGCATGGAGGGAGACGGTGGCAGGCGGCGGCGGTGGCGTGGTCTCCGAAGCCCACAGTACACTCATCCATAAAGTAGGAAACACTACACCCTCCAGTGCTGTTAGTAGTGCTTTCTACTTTATGGGTGACTGCACTGTCTGTCTGTCCGTTTGCGGGTCCTCTTCAGGCCGCCTGCTCCTCTTCTTGACTCCTGCTTCAAGAGCCCGGAGCCCTTCCCAGCCCTCCCTGTGGCTCCCAAAGACCCCACCACTTGGCCCCATGGGCCCCAGAGGGCCCGCCCTGGGCCTGTGGGCGGTGACTCAGCATGGCGCCAGATCTTGCCTCCTCTACCTCCCTCCCCCCACTTCCTCTTTGGTTCTTTTTTCCCTTCCCCCTAGGACTTCACCCCACCCCCCCCACACACACACACACACTTTCGGGGACATTCAGGTAGAGTGCACGGCTTTTCTGGAAGCCTCATCCCGGTCCCCAGGTCTAACTACACAAGTGACCCCTCCCAGCCACATTACCCACCCTCCAGAGCCCAAGTGAGGCAGCCACAGCCTCCTCTCGGAAAGGCCTTGGCCCAAAGCCTCCCCACCAGCCCAAGGCTCTGACTCCTTCACTGCTCGGTGGTTCCCCAGGCAGGAACCCAAGGCTATCGCAACAGAGATGGTGGCCATGTTGGGTGGAGGGAGACGCTTAGCACCTCTCACTGATACTGAGTCCCACTTTTCACCCCCTACCCACCCTCTGCCACCCCCACCTACTTTCTGGCCCGTGCCCCTTGAAGCCTTGGACCCCTTTCTTCATCTGGGAACCATGGGCCATTTTACCGTCATTGTCTAGAGGGAAGTCAAGGCCCAGGACTTTGAGGAGCTGTCCCACCGTGAAGGCAGTAGATTTGAGGGTTATTGCACCTCTCGGCCTAGAGCTTTGTTAGCAAGCCTTGGCACTAAAGCTCCTGAAGTCCCTCCCCAACGCATCCCCACCCAGGGCCTGCAACCCAAGCTCCTCATCGCCTCTTGAGGCCCAGAGTCAAGGAACCCCGACTGGGGCTGAAGCGAAGGTTCAGATCCTTACCTGATGCTGCAGGGCTGAGGGGAGCAAGCCCTGTGTTCCAGGCTCTCAAGTGGGGTTCCCTTCAGGGTGGGCCGGGCTTATATCCCCGAGGCCACGTGGGCCAGATCTCAGGGAGCCCAACGGTCTTGGAGCCCGCCCCCATACCGCAGTGGAGATTAGCGCGCCCCTCCCCTCCCTGGGGAGGACAGACTGACAGGAAACCAGAGACAAGGCTGGGTATTGGCGGGAGGAGTGCTGAAGAGACCATCTCACTCATATGCCCTAGGCAGGTGGCTTCCAGGACCCCAGGCCTGCCGTTCCCCATGGCGCCAGCTCCAGAGAATTGTTCAAGAGTCTGGAACTGACTCAGGGCGCTTGAGGTGATCCCAGGAGACAACGGCTCCCTGACAGGCCCTTCAGTATGTGCCCAAAACACAGAGTCCCGAATTCCACAAGAAAAGGTCTTTATTTCTGAGCCCTACCCGCACTGACCCCAGCCCAGAAACCTCCCTTTTGTTTGTGACAGCAGTGGCATTCAGATCAAGCCATAGCTCCTCTCTAGGTGCTGCCCAGAGAAGCCCCCAGAGGTACAGATGCATGAAGGAGAGTCTGGGCCAGCACATCACAATGCCTCCTACACAGTCAGTTGCCCTCAGCACCCACCCCCTTCTCCCAGCCCCAGCCTGCAAGAGACAAGACCTGTGCCCTCAACAGAGTAAGGGGGTCGCACACGGGCCAGGTGGGCCTGTTGGCACTATACTGGGTGTTCATGCTTCCCATAGGTCCTGTAGGGATGGGAGAGCAGGGCAGAGTGATGAGGACCAAGACCATAGGCAAGGCATGGGTGCCATTGGGCTTAGAGGAGTGGAGGGAAAAAGCCTCTGAAGGGAGGTGCTAGCAGTCACCGGATGTGGGCACGGGGCCCGCCCACCTGCATGCCACCCCCTCTTTCCCCATGGGGAAGGCAGGAAGCTGCCTGTCCCAGGGTCCCTGGCTGGGGGAGGGGAACAGGGTGTGGGTCTAGTGGGAGGGCCTGGCGGGGTCTGGGTCTAGGCCACACATTTTCCCCAAGGTTCTCCAAGCCTCTCGGTGGGCTTGGCTGTGGAATGAAGAGAAATAGATTGGCGGGGCGGGTGGGGGTGGGTAGTGGAAGGGGATAAGAATTACTCAGTGACTCCTTCCCAGAAGGCCATGAGCCTCTTCTCTGGGTCCCCCATTCAGAGTCAGGCCCACACAGACTTGAGGGAACTCTCAGATTCAAGGCCCAGAAGAGGATCGGCTCAGGATGGCGGCAGCAGGGAGAGAGAGAGAGTGCCTCACACTCTGAAAAGTTGTTATCCATCCCCAGGCCGCTAAATGAGACGGAGAAAGGGGCAACAGGGCCCTTCACACGATAGGGTCTGAAGACACAGTGTGAGGAGGGCGAGCTGGCCAGAAAT